CTAGGCAATTTGAAGTTTACGTTGTAATTTGAATGTCATGTTGATCAGAAGAAAGTTGCGCTGCGTTAGATAGGGTTAGGAGAATATTAGTTAAGTGTTACGTAACATTAATATTTATTTGATTACAACATTTACCGAAATAATTCATTTTCTGAGTCCTGTACTACAACATTAAAATATTAACTAATTAATTTGATTTAAAAACATAATGAAACTAAAGTTATTAGTTGTAAATTGTTACGATAAATGGAAATATTTTTCAACTTTTTTTTTGATATATATATATATATATATATATATATATATATATATATATATATATATATATCAGCTTCTTAGCTCTGAAGAAGGCCACTGCAAGATTGCGCCGAAACGTCAGTACAATTGACCAAGACGCGGCTCATCCTGGAGAGTCAAGAATGCACCCTAGTTTGATTGTACCTTCGCGACTTTTCCTTCGGGCTCCAAGGTGCCGAAAGAATTAATATAGCAGAATAAGGAGGTGAAAAGGGCTCCAAAACCAAATCGATAATCGCGATACTCATCGTATAAAAGAGAATCAGAAATGCTTGACGCTGAAACGTCCGCCCGTCCGCAGGGCTGGAGCAACACGTGCGTGGGCGTACGATTCCTTCCACACTACCTAAACCCCTGTCGATCTGGTCTCAGTCAAAGCTCTGCGATTCTGAAAATCATTCATTAATTTTGGAGGTTCTTTTACATAAAGTTCTTGGGACATTTTCAAAATTTCATGTCTTGGAACATTCTCAAAAGTGGCTTAATTTTTTAAAAAATCCTGTAAAATTAAAGTAACTTATACTTATGAAGGTGGCATATGTCTGATTTTTACTGATAACTGAATTTCCCAAAATTGCAAAATGCTGATTTTTTTCGGCATCATCCTATAACTACAATATCGAAGAAATTTTTCCTTCAAAGGAAATTTGTTGTACATAATTAGTTCTTTCATGAAGGTTATGCATAGTTTTAGCAAATTTAGCAAAATAGTACCCGGGCATAAATTGTTCAATATGTGCAATTTTAAAAAACAACAAAAACAAGACTCAAGAACGGTTTCATATTTTTTTTTACTTTAAGTAGAGATAGTGTGAAATGCAAAGTTTCACTTTCTCACTACTGCTTACGCAGTGAAGAGAAAGTTATGTAATGCAGCGGGAAAAAATGGCGAATTTTCTACATAATTGCTTGGCTCTGATAACAAAAACTTGAATAAATCCAGTTGCTAAATATAAAGGTAGTTCAAACGCTCCCGTTATGAACCAAAGTAGCCCAGTTTCTGTGCTGACATTCATGAAGAATGGCAGATCCAATTTTTCCTAAAAACTAGTTTGTATGTTATTCCGGCGCGAAATTGAAACCGGTTGCCGCGTCACGCGCTGCGGCGTCTGCCGAAAGGGCTGAGCATCGACGTTTCTTTCGCGTTTGCGGTGAAACTGTCGAGTGAGGCAAACACGAAGCCTGAAATAAATTAACAAAATTCCTGGAATGCTCGAATTATATTTTGTGTATCTTCAGTGTGAACTTTTTTGTGCTTTAGAGATAGTCTTCTGCCATTTCTTTCCTTAATATGCAAACAGTTTTGCATATTAAGGTTTTGGTAATGGTTTTGCATATTATTATACATGCAAACAGTTTTGCAGCTAAAATATTTGTTCATTAAATATTGAGTTTATTCATTATTTCTGGGCGCGCAATTGGAAGTGATGCTTTCGCCAGTTCATTTTGTGTAGCTGAAAGCCGACAATTGCACTGATGAATATTTTCAGTTCACCTTTGGATCCCCAGTCAAGCAATCCTACGTGGTGTTCATGATAAAGAGTGAGAAAATGGCATATGCCTCCTATGATGATTAGCAAAATAAATTGCCGATATGGTGTTGGTGCAAAAGAGTAAAATTATAATTAAAAAAGTTGCGTTTCATTCACATTAGTCTGTTGGTTGGTCGCGTCAAAGCTTGTGGCGCGGGGTAGGCAAAATTAATTGTAAAAATTGGAAAAAAAATACGACCACATCATATCGTTACTTAGAAGAGAATGTTGTTTTAAAGAATAATGAAAGAGAAGCAAGTAATCCGGAAAAAGTGGCAAATCTCTTCGACCAACACTTTTCTAGAATTGTGCTGTACTCACGACGGGACTAAAACCGTAAAATTCAACATCATTACCTCCCAAAAAAATGTTCGACACGATGTTTATTTCCGAGACTTCTTCTAAAGAAATCCTGAGAAAAGTCAGTAATATACAAAATAAATATTCATCTGGTTTAGATGAATTTCCGGATTGTTTATTGAAAACTTGTGTACCTGCCTTTATGCACCCGTTAACTCACATTTTCAATGCTTCTTTATGCACAGGAATATTTCCAGATATTTTCAAAACAGCAAAAATTAAGCCACTTCAAAAAAGGGAACAAAAATGAAATTCAAAATTACTGGCCAATTTTTCTTTGGTCTGGTTTCTCAAAAAATATTAGAAAGGCTTTTCTATACGCAAATGGAAACTTTTCTCAGGAAAAACGAAGCGTTTTCAGACTCACAACGCGGGTTTAGAAAATCAAAATCTACGGAAACCGCCATTTTTTCTTCTCTCGAAGATGTTGCTTCACCAATGGACTAAAATGAAGCACCCATTGGAATATATTTAGATCTTTCGAAAGCTTTTGACGTTACTGACCAAGAGATCTTGCTATCAAAATTACCTTCTTATGGAATTCGTGGCATCGCCATTGATTGGATAACCTCGAACCTTTAACATCAATCTTTTCTTTTACTCATCTATAAGTTATTTGTAGTTAAATGATGGGAAGGGATTCTGGAACTCAAGAAAACGTGCGCAGGTAACCTTCTCCCCCATACGCATCATACAGTTTTAGTGTTGTTGTTGTTGTTGTTGTTGTTTGACTAAATAAATCTAAATGAACCTGCCACTTGCCCCTTAATGTACTAGTAACTAAGCGTGCGATGCGTGTAATTCAACCACCATTAAAACTTTAAACGCGTTATTCTCGAAAATTCATTTTTCGAGTGGTAGATACCAATATTGCAGCTCATAAACGATATTAATGAATTAACATTTCAGCCGCAAAACTCTGTTAACATAAATTATGACATAATATCTTTTCCCCCATACGTCACATACAGTTTTTACAACTTTTTGGCTAAATAAATCTAAATATTAAGAAAAGGAATTGCAGGCACTATCATTTATCGAATGTGGCTTTCTAAAACACAATGCATTATATCATACTGAAGATATGCAAAACATAATTCACGCATTACAGGAATTTTGTTAATTTACATAAAGCTTGGTTCATGTTCAGCGTTCATTGTTGTTTTTGTTGTAAAATTCATTACAAATGGTAGAACATTAGGAGCGGGCACTTCAGTCTGTGGTCAGCAGACTTACAGGTCCTTCCGCGAAAACACACATACATGAAAGACGGACAAACTATCATGTGCTTTCTTGTAATCATTTGCTCGAAGTTTTTGGTATGGTAGAAATTACATAAACTCTATTAATTTACAAACAACCATTATGTATTCCAATATTACGTAACTATTTCCAATAATACGAGAAAGTACGCGCTCTTGCAGTCATGCACAATTTTTAAACAACTTATTTCTCAAAAAACAACTCCAATGTTTTCTGAATCTATAATAATACTAATAATCACATAATAATGAGCAAATATCTCAGATCTTTGGGTAAAATGTATATAATTTGTTTAAAATAACAATCCTATGGATTTACTACCCTAGAACCTGTTTTCTATGGGCACCCTGTTAGGCTATGTGTAAGTTGTATAAATTGTTTCATACAAAGGAAGGAAATTTTGTCCTCTTTAAAATTGGTTGCAACGAATTTCCTACAGAACTTAAGGGTAAAGAGTTGTAGAGAAAAGGAAATAAGGGGGGGGGGCAGACAAAGACTGTCTTTTAGGGCCACCCATTGGTCAGCCACCCATCACTAGGTATGGGTATGCGAGGTTGAAAACTTAGGATTTTAACTGAACCCTGGGTACACACAATATACCCAAAGAAAAAGTGTTAAGTGTCCTATTTCCAGACAACCATCCTTTTCCAATTTGCCTGCTACTCAACTGTAAAATTTTTATAATAAGCACATAATGAATTTCCTGCTCACAATCCTATTGTTAGTTACCATTCATCATTAAGCGCTTTGTAGGTGTTTAGAAAATGAGTGCAAGGTGCAGAGCTCGAACACTAAAGTGCTGTTCCCATATTACTGTATTTTAGTAGTTTGTTGCCTGTTATAAAAAATCAAACATTTCAGTGATATGAAACATTACAGTAATCCAGTATAACATTTCAGTAATGAGAAACATTCTAGTTTATAAGTACAGCCCTCATGTTGAGACAAGATATAACACAAAAGACATTAATTGTCCAAATAAAATTATGTTTTATTTTCTTAAAAGGGATGCAACAAACAAATCGCATTTTCAATATAGTTGTGATGTTGCATTACATTTCCTATTTTCAAATTTGGTTGTTTAAGATTTAATGCAATAAGATTAAACATCCTTCTCACAAGATGAAAAATGGGGTATTCGTTTTTATTCCCACCTAAATCTATATTATGGATTACTGAAATTCATGAAACTTTGTAATTTCATTGCTGTAACTGATATTGTGTTTTCTGTATATTCATTGGGATTCAAAGGTATCCCAAAGAGGGAACAAAAGGTTTTCAAAATAAAAGTTGTAATATAATGACAACCAAGAGAGGAGGCAGTAAGTCTATTTTCTAGGAGGGAATGTGAGTAAAGCAGTCCAGCTGACCTGATGTTTTCTCCCAAAATATATTTCTTTTATGCTAAATTTAAAATTCATTTTTATTTCTTGATTGAAACTTATTTATATCACATTCAAATCAAATACTGATTGACTTTCATTTTTAATGCAATATTATTTAAAACTGTATTTCTGCATTTGTGTGAGGTACTGATTATCTGCACAGGAAGATGCCCAACTCAGAGCAGAGGATTCCAAAGCCGCAGCTTCGTGGATTGCTCAATTCTGCAATTAAAAGGAACTTGTTAGTGGCAATTGTTCTTACCATCATTTCGGGAGTCACCTGGAAAATAGGAGTTTGTGACGCTCGCATGAAGCGATACGCGGACTTCTACAGGACATATGATGCAGAAGCAGACTTCCAGAGAATGAAAAATGCTGGTGTCTTTACTAGCTGTGGTCCAAATGATGATTGAATATTATAGAACAAATTAGTTTTATTTGTATAGATGCATTTTCTGTATTAAAGTAGATTATTGATCATTCATTGTATTTTAATTCACTTGGTGGTGACATTATGAACTGAGTTTAGTGCAAACATAGGAGACCTGTATACCATCACGTATGGTCTTGTAAAGTATTTGTGAATATGTACCAAAGGCCTATGTGAGAGTGGATAAGAATGAAGTTCCATGAGTGTGCCCTTGTGTGTGCCACTGAAAATGTGATATTTATCATTATATAGGACCATGTCTTCAAATAGCTATTGCAGGGGTGAATCCAGATACAAATTTTGGAAGGGGAAATTAAAAATGTTGTGGTTGAATGTATCATTACAGATTTTGTTAAATGTTGTAGGTTACACTCAGTTCATGCTGAGATACGATTTTATTTGTTTTAATGATTATCTAAAAATAATTTTTCTTGAAAGTTTCATGATGTAAAAAATAATAGATACTGAAATATTTTAGGGGGAGAAATTTCCCTCATTTCTCTCTCCATGGATCAACACCTGCAATCATTATCTTTTTTAAGAAAAAATGAATTGTTTTTATTAATTAATTTTAATAGGATAGTATATTAGCAACGTCCCATGAACTGGATAGGACACAACTATAACAACTTATTTTCTCAATAGGAATACAGGTAAATTAGTGTCAAGAATACAGATGGTTGGACAGACGCATAGATGGAGAGACATAATTGAAAAAAGCACTATTTTGGTAGCAGGGACCTTCAAAATGTGTACTCCTATCAAAATCTTGAAATAAAATTTTTGCAGTATCTTAAAACTTTCTCTTCTCCACATACAATACAAGAAATAAATAAATCTCTAACTAAAGCCAGACTAATAGGAAACAGGATTTTCAAATATTAAAAATTACATGACAGTATTCATACGTTTTTGAATTTCAAGAAATTTTCTGTGTATTATAAACAGAGTATGAATTGAGAATATTTTGTCAATGTACACTATTACTTGTTTAAGAGATTTTTTTAGGCCAACCTATTTGAAATTGTCTGGTTCAATGCCAAGTTCAGAAATGGTTTCAATTTTTTTTAAATTAATTTTTTATCCCAATTAATCCATTGATAAATTTATATTCACAGGTAAGTGTAAACAAGTGTTATTTAATACTTTGTATTCCTTTTTAGTGGAAGTCTTGTGAAAAATCTTACATGTAACTTTTGAACTCATGTCTTGTAACACACACTTTACATTAGCCATCAAAAACATTTATAAATAAAAAGGCTTAAAGTTTACAGTTATCTTGATACATATTTCATTCACCAAAAATCAAGAAAAACTTGCTGTTGTATTTGAAAAGAAATCTCTGCTTTGAATTTATATTGACATTCTTTCTACAGAAGTCATTAGAAGCCAAGATGCATGAACAATTTAAATAAGCTCAACCATAATATCAAACAAGCCAATATACATATCTATCATTGAATGATAATATGAAACAAATTATATTTAATCTAAAGATTTTAGAGATTGACTGTAGCAATACAAACAATGGAGAGGCTGTAAGTGTATCATCCAGCTGACTTGATGTTTTCATGTAAAGAATTTTATGTTTATGATGTATTCTAAAGTAGTTTTCATTTGATAACTTATTACTAACAAATTCAGGTGAAATATTGAATAATTTTGTTATTATAGAAAATACATTTTCAAAATCTTAAATTAAATTTCGTGGAAAAATGGAAAAAATTGTAACAATAATCCAAATATATTAAGTTTTTTAAATGTTTGTATGAAGACAATTGTTCGACTATTTTAATTTAGTTTTGACATCAATTACAAAGATGATTCTGCCAGACACCTCTAGAGAGCCAGCATAAAAAGGAAAATATTTTGAAGAAGAGATTTTCTATGACTTAGTTTAATAAACCTTCAGTTAAACAGAGATTTGTGAAAGTAAAAGAAAGTTAAAATAAAAGAATTTACTTATTCTCATCAAATCAGATAGGGATTGACAACCACTGAATCACAATTAAAGAAACGATGAATAACATAGCTTGGAGGGAAACATTGCCTCAAATTCAAAAAATTTAAGTTGCATGATCTATATCATAAATTTATTTGCTGGTGTGTTAGTAGTAGCCATAGATAGCTACCTGTCTTAGAAACATTATGTACAATAGTTTGTTGTATTGGGTTACAGATGTAACCTAAAATGTTCATAAGTATGTATCATCTATTGAGACGCATCCAAATCTCATAATTGAAACTTTGTTAATTTTAGGTTAATTGAGTTGAAATTCATGGCATAGATAAGTAAATATGTCATATCCTAGACATACTATGTCAGGACTTAATAATTACTAATTATAAACAAGACAAAAAGAATTAATAGCAACTACTTTCTACACTACTTTCTTTAATACTACTACTAGTAGTAGTGTTAATACTATTTTCAGGGTAACATTGCCATGCTGGCCATCTTACCCCTACATTTATATCCTTTGAGAAGTTCTTACATTAAACACTTGACATTTATGAGTTTATAAATAATTTCAAAAGCATATGACATATAAATTGTAAACATTGATTAATTACATTTGATACCATGTATTCGTCACCATACTTGCACTGTAACTTTGAAAAGCATATCATTAATTTACTTTATCATGTTTAATGCCATGTATACAAATACAAAAAATCCAATATCTAAGGTTTACAAACCTATGATGAAGTTAAAATACACCAAGCAATGGAAAATGTAAATAGTGGAAAATTAAGTAGGAAAAAGCTTCTGAACTTTTGGAATTAGCAGGTCCGCTTTAAAAAACTTGGATGAGTGTGTAATGCCAAAATACAATATTGTTTCTGAGCTTCCCAGAACAAATATATAAAGGGGAAAGCACTTTTCCTTATCACATTTTATCACAATGAAAAATAATTTATGAAACTTATTTTAGATTAAGTTCTCAAAGCAGAATTTGTCCCTGTTACTTTCTTTCCCTGTAGCTTTATTACAGTAAAAAAACAAAGACTAATAATCTTAACATTTGTTCTGTGGCATATTTGTGTGTTTCTGTTTGCTATCCAACTATCACACATTCATACATTGCCAGAGACTTAGAAATAAATCAAAATGGCAATGTTTAACCCCTGCAGAGTAATATTACCTCTTTGCTTCCTTTTAATTTTTTATTTTTTTAAATTTAAAAATATTAAAAAATCTTTCAAGTTATGGAAGGTTGTGAAGATTGATGCAACAAAGTAAAACTTAAAAAAACAAAAACAAAGATGTGGCAATGTTACCCCCCAATATACTCTACACTATTATACAGAATAAGCACAATGAGTGTAACATTGCATTATTACTAAGCATTAAATATTACAAAACTAGTGGTGCTACAGAATGGCCTATACTTTCTCATACTAATTAGTTTTCTAATTTCTTTGGTCTGGGCTAGCTTTTTGGACTTGCCACATATTCTTGCCAACTGGTCTCTATCACCACCCAAAGTACATTTTTTGGAAATTTTCTCAATTTTCCTCTTTCCTGATGATACAACCAAAATATTACTTCAAGAGCACTAAAGAAGAGAATAACCATCCTATATGGAAATTTTTGTTGAAAAATTTGGTGCTCTTTTCAAGAAAATGAAGCACTTCCGTTCACAAATGTGGAATGTTCAAAAAAATTGCTGGAAAATGTGTACCAACAGCATGACAAATATTGAAAAGAAAATGCATTTGCTTAATTTGTTCAAAACAAAAAACGCAGCAAAATGTCTTTAATATCACTTTAAATATTGCATTTATCACTATCCGTACAAAAAGTTTGAAGGGTAACTTGAGCTTTTGCGAAACTTTATTGGACATTATTTGATGCACATGTACTTATAAATGCAATAGTGTGAACAAATCACTCTTGATGTAAATATTAAGAAAGGGAGCCAAAAATTTGGAGCCATTTTTGAGACAATTTTAAAAATGTTGCAGGGGCTTTATGTAAAGTATCCCAAAATATTAATGAATGTTTTTCAAAATTGCAGAGCTTTGAGTGAGACCAGATCAATAGGGGTTCATTCAGTTTGGAAAAAATTGTAGGCATAGTTGCATTAGTGTGGTTCACATACACCAGACACAGATGGACGGAAGACAGACAGATGGACCGATGGGCAGACAGACAGACAGACAGATGGACAGAGACAGAGATAGTCATTTTGAAAAAAACACTTTGTCAGTATCAGATGATCCCAAAACTTGCATTTCCGTTCAAATCTCAAAATTGATTTTTCACAGCATTCATAACTTTTTCTATACTATGTGTATTACTCCGTATATACAAGCATATATATAACTTAGCGGCAGACATAGGCCTATGAGTTTACACAGAATATTTTTTAAAAAATCAATTTAATTTTACATACAATTCAAGATTTTGCACATTTCTGAACATTCATGCAAGTACTGAGAAGAGCTTAAACTTCAAAAAGGAAAAAAAAAAAGAGTTCATGAAGGCCTCGTTTTGTACATTCCTCAGAAAAATCACAAAAGTCTTGAAGTATGTTCTAATTTATCTTTCTTTTTATTATCTTTAAGAAACAAGCTTCCAACAGTTAGATGTTTTCAATGAGAACAGATAATGGTAGAAAAATTGTGTGTTAGTGAGATGGAGAATATTCATCAGAATATTCATACAACTGTTGAAGTCTCAAATTAACCTTAGTACATAAAACAAAATATTTATGAATGGGATTCACACACTGTACTATTTTTCCTTTTTTAAATAAATTATAATTTTATTATTGGAAAATAAAATAGCTATCAGAAGAAAATGGAGGGTGGATAATTATTATAATGTTCATCATATGTTTGAATATTAATCTTACTGTCAATCTGAAATAAAAAGGTTCAAAAGTTCAGTTGCACTCAAAATACTTATTAAAAAAAAATTAAAACTAAACAAATTACTAATTCTTAATAACCCATAAACTTCTTGATCTTCAAGTAGTAACAAAACTCAAATTAAACAGAACAAAAGTAATTAAATTAAATGAAAGGGTAAATTAAACTCAATAAAATAAGTAATGAGTCTTCCCAACTTCTTCCAAAAGTTCAAATACTTAATTTATTTTTACAGGAATCCCTGTATGCTGTCTTAAATTTCAATTAACATTTTCAATTCAGTTCTCTACAATTTGCAACTTCCAGTTCATTTCATTTTATATCTTTTTATGTTCTTGTATAACTTTAAAATTCCTTGATAATACTTTTACTGTTTCTTACTGAATTCACTTTGCATGAACACACATGTGCTCTCAAGAATTTTCTGACTCATACCCATTCACATCTGCTCTCAACAGAAGTTTTAAATGGATTATTTCAAAAATGTAATTATTGAATATGGAAATTGGAACAAAAAAATTGAAAATTTCATGGACTCATACAGAAGTAATTTTAGTTAAGAAATACAGAAAACTATCATCAATTACTTATTAAAAAATATTATGGTAGTGATCAATACATCTAACTGTTTATACAGTATTTGATTACCATTCTTTATAGTACTACTAATTTAGAATTCCTTTATTTCTATTTTATCTTCTGCATTCTGTAGTTTTAACCAATGTGAAATTTTAACTCTGTTTCACTTGATACAAATACTATTTCAATGTTTCTTGTGCTGTTTGAGAACTTGATGAACTATAAGTTAAAATATATATTACACAAGAAGTTATTTATGATGAAAGAAACAATATATAAATATGAGGTTAAGATCAGTCATTGAATTGAAGTTGCTCTTTTGAAATGCAAAGGTAGATTGAATTACCTGACCTAGCATAAGATGGGCAATATTCAATAGGGTTTAACTTCAATAATATTAAAAAATATTCAGGATTACATATTCCAGTTTAAATACACCAGCATATTACATATTACACTTCCAGCAGTTGGAAAATTCTTCAAAACACAAGCATTACCTATATTTATTTATGTGAAAATCTGTCCTACAAGTCTTCAAAGATATTTAAAGTAATGAAATAAAATTCATAAAACCTGGACTCTTCAGTAGGGGAGCAGTGCATATGAATCCAACAGAAAATAAGGAAACATTTTTTGCAAATTACTTTATAGAATTTTACATGTTTGATCACCTGAAGATGGCAAATGACATTTGTGAAAATGTTTTTTTTTAATGAATGTTTTAACAAATGAAACTGTTTTTTCTGTGTTTCATGTAAATAAACTGTTTTAACAAACTGTCTTAAATGAAGTTGGGTCTTATTCTTGAATGTTAATGAGAGAAGAGGAAGCTCTGTGTTAAAAAGCATACTTTTGCATAACATGAAAAGAAAAAAGGAATAGTAAACTTAAAGTTCAGCTACTTCCTCAGCAAATTGAATGTAATAAGTTTATATTTAAGTCTAAGAATAAAGTGATATTATATACTGAGATAAAAATACTACAATCTGCAATCATTATAGGAAAAAAAATAATCCACAAAGCACGCAAACATCCTGAAAAAAGACTGGAAAAGCAGGCTAACAAATGGGAAAATGCAAGGTCAAAGCTAGTTCAAAGATCAAGCTCAAGTTATGTTCTTTCATGAAGGTTGAAAATAAGAAATGCTGTAGAGTGTATTTACAGAATTGTAAAGATAGTAAGTAGTTGTTCATATTTCAATTGAACCATCAATAAAAAAAGAACATGGATTAGTTGTATTTGTTGCATGCTTGAACCCTTCATCAAATATTTTACTCTATGAATTTCTGTTTTAGGTCTCCAAATGTTCATTACATCAAATTATTAAAAATCCAATTAAAAATAATACTTCTTTATTCTTTTATAACAAAAATCTACATGGATATGAACTAAAATAAATAATATAATAAATAATAATATGTAACTCAACACATTATAGAAAGACTATAATTTGTCAGATTTTCATTGCTACAGCTATTAAACCATTTACTTGTAGATTGAAACTCTTGGTGACTAGAAATGCATCTTATAGTGCAAAAGAATTCATAAATTCAAGTCAGTTTCCATCAGTGATACCTTCATTGTTCCGACACTAATCACAAAATACTCTAATGGTTGATGATGCCTTAATTGGAATGCATTCAGTATGCTCTTTTCACTTATGACTTGCAGAATAAATAAATCAATATTTGGTATTAGCATGACATTAGTAATGACATTGATGGGATTAATAATGGCATAATTTTATTTCATTTTCTTATGTCAGTATGCAATGCCTCAGTGATTTTAAATAATTTAATAAATATGATGGTTGCAGCAATTTTGGAAAAAATGTGCAACCATGATTGTTTTTAGTAACGCAAATAAAATATATCAGTCTAATGAAGGGTAATGACTTAATGACTCATATCAACCATTCTGGTTTTTTAAAATTTCATTTATGAAGATTTAACAAGAAACTCAAAATAGTTAAATATATAAGCAGTTTTGAATATACAACTATTTTGAATGTATTTACTGAATTTTCTTTTCAGGTGATCAATAGATGCTGAATGCAGAAAATAGAAATTCTTCGGTGAAATACATCATTTCCATTTTAATATTAATAAAATATTGCTTCTGTAATTCAGTGCATTTGGTACTTTAGTTTTTATATATATATGTGAATATTAGGAGAAAATAATCTAAATTTCGTTTCTGAAATGGAAATTATAAATTTTGAAAGAAAATGTTTCTTGTGTCACTGAACTCACTGAATTTTCAAGAAGGTCAGAGAACGTAAAATTTTGTGGTCAAGATCCTATGAAAAGCGATAGCTTGATAGTGGTTTTGGTAGTCACTTGTGACGGGTTGACAGCGTAAGACGGCACGAGATCCGAGAACGTGGTGTTCCTTTTGACGAACTCGGCTCCGGCTGGGAACAGCTCACGTACATGTTGAACACGGACACACACACAAAATTTCCATTGTTCTTTTGGGATCACACCCACAATTCTTCAGTCACCAGTACCCGCAGATCCTAATACACAGATGATTGCGATGATGGATTAATGAGAGGTAATGTTTCTATAATAGTGAAATTGACTATTTCTGAGAGAAAATACGTGTACCTGAGAGGCACGTAAAATCATCCAAAATAACGTCTCCCAAAACATTACAATGGGAGTAAAACAGGTCCCAACGGATCTCCAGAACCAAAAGCAATTGTTGCCGTCTCCTGACGCTGCTCCGGATCAATGTCCAAGGAGGATCCAAAGTCGTATTTCGTAAAATCTTTGAAAGCAGCGAATGCCGTGATTGTGCCCTTCATTTTTCTTAAGAACAACTAAATTTCACGTGTGGTTGAAGTACTGCGGGGTACCAGTTGAAAGTTGGAGATCCGGAGGTGATGCACCGATGATACGCAGGTGATGCGCAGTGACGCTTTGGTGAACTGCCGGAGAGGCGCCGCTGCCACTTAGAGATGCAACATGGCCCACAAATCGTTTCTTCTAAACATCGATGTCATCGAACCAAAACCAGCAATATCATTAAACATCGATGTTATTAAAAGAGGAAGAGGAAACCATTGACATTTACGTGGGATGAATTTAATTTGCAAGTGGTTTCGTTCTTTAATTTTTCTTTGAGATTGTTTTATCAGTTCCAAGCCAAAAATTCCTCAGAACAATTATCAAAACTTGCATTATCTGATTAGATATTTAAAAAATAATATACTTCTTTTCTGAGGAAAACTCGACTTTATTTATTTTTCACTCTTGGTTATTTAAGAATAATTATTATAGCATTTCGTAATAATGAACCTATTCGATTTAAAAAATACTGACCACGCGTAAACGTCAATGTTAACGAAACATCGTCTTCGAAAAAATATATTGTAATTATGTTGTTATAAAATTATCGATTATTTAACATCGATTTCGGCGTCACGCCACACGACGCTCTCGATCCAGGGGAGCGCGGCGGAGGTGCGCGCATACACCCCCGGGGTCGCGCCGCCGCACGGGTTGGCGCCAAAGCTGGTCACGCCCACCAGGATGTCGCCGCCGTCCGCGCGAACCACCAGCGGCCCTCCGGAGTCGCCCTGCACACGAACAGCACTCAATTGGCGCTCCCCAGGACGGGAATTGCTGTGCACATTAGTCTCGTTGGTGCAGGGGACGTGTTTGGTTGGTTTGCTTTTTTGGACTTGGTGGGACCCGGCGCCGACATACATATCGGCCTGGCCGGGGCCTCATGCTCCAGGTATTTGCCCCAGCCGGGACAAGCTCTAAGCTCCCGACTGATCTCTCGACATGTGTCGTAGTGCAGTGATCGGAAGTCTGAGTGTGTGTACGTAAGGGGAGAGGAGAGGACAACGAAGAGGAAGGAACGATCGCGTGCAACCCGTGGCCCGTTTGTCTACTGTAAGGTGGACAACGGTTGAATTCGACCTACGTCGATAATCCACATCCGCCCGGACTCAAACGCTACGGGCTACCGGTGGAAGTCGCTGCAGGGACAACGACAAAGCTGGCTTTGACATGAAGTCTATAGAGCACATGTTACAACTGCTAAGTCGCCACTCCTATATCTACAGCGTAAATCACTACCACATGGACCGAGGGAGGTGGCTCAGGGCATCAACTGACGTCACTGCTCTCCCTCCGGGCCCACTGACCGGGAGGTCCTAGGTTCGAGTCCCGACGGTAGCAGGGTTTTCGACAACTACCTTCATAACTTCGTCGAATTAAGCCTCTGTCTGGAGGAGAATTCTAGAGGGCGACTGCTTTGATCGGTAGTCTTCCGAGGTTTCTCCGTTCCACGCCAGGCGAATGCCGGAGCGGTACCCTACAAACGGGCCACGGACCTCTTTCCTACCTCTCCCCTTGCTCTCACCTCTACACACCGGGGGACCGGTCGGGAACTCAGAGCTTGTCCCGGCGGGGGCGGCGCCGCTAGCTGACAAACAGCACGCCCTGCCCCGAGCGCCCGCGCCCGGAGTCACTGGGGCTTACCCGGCAGGTGTCTTCGCCCGCGGCGCTGGAGGCGCACAGCATGCTGTCGTCGATGCCGTGAGGGATCTTGGATCGGGAGGTCAGCAGCCGGTCGCACTCGCCCGCTTCCACCGCCGTCAGCTGCACCTTCCTCAGGTCACGGCTGGGCTCAAAGCCTGCGACACCAACAGATTTCATTTTAGGAGCACTGACGTGTATTTATTCATTGATTATGATGCTCATCAATTAAGATTGTAATAGGAATTTGTCACAAGAGTAAAATAGGACTGAATTCACTAGGGGAAAGTTTAAGAGTCAGGTTCGAAAATAGTTTGTATAGATTCGTTTAAGCCTTCGGATCGCTCTTTCAAACAATGCTCTATCAAGCCGTCCCGACATCTCAAATCCCCTCAATCTTATTCTCAGCAGTCTCACCTTACCCATCGCAATGACAATACCAGTTTTTCGGCAACCTTTTTTGCGACTTTAACACATATCCACGGACTCGATTAACCACGAAGTATTTTTCCGATATTTCTCATTTCTTTTTCGTCCTACTCCCGTCGATTGCCGGTAGATTTAGATTTTAGATTTATTTAGACAAAAAAACAGTAAAAACTGTATGATGCGTATGGGGGAGAAGGTTATCTGCGCACGTTTTCTTGAGTTCCAGAATCCCTTCCCATTTAACTACAAATAATTTAAAGATGAGTAAAAGTTAAAGATAAATAAAAATAAAATTAAAAAATCGCAAGATTAGCAATATTTGAAAAATATACATTTCCGTTTCCAAGTTATAGAAAACTTGTTTGCATCGGTAAACGAATTGCAAGTATACATTCCTGGCTATTCAGGGCGCGCCGCGCCTCGGCCATCTTGCTGTGGCCTGCTTCAGAGCTCTACTGCTGAGCAGTATCCGGATAGCCAATAATGCATTGACTCCGGCCGAACGAATTGCAGATATGATTTTTCTGCCCTTACATCTACTCTTACCGGTACAAGCAAAAGGAGAGTTCAACAAAACGCGCGCATAGTGAACCTACATTTACGTCCAGAAGCAAAACAAGAGCTCATCTCAGCATTGGCTCAATGGATCAAGGAAACTGGACAAAAACCTCATCGAGATAGATCTTATGAATCCCTAGAAAAACGTTTATAAGACTCCCCCCTACTTTTTCAGTCAGTAGGAATATATTTACAACAAATACGAGTATTGATTCGAATTTCGTAAAAATCACAATTGAGTAAAGAATAAAAATATAGTGATTAGATTCTTTCCACTGCTTCCTCAAACGCCGAGGCACCCGACATTATTTATCCCGTAATTATTTATTTATCATCAAAAACGGCTAAAACTGTTTGTGACTTTCTAGGAGAAGTGAATTCTGTGCACGTGTTCCTAAATTCTGAGATTGCTACCATAACCTAAATACAAGTTTATTTAGAAATGAGCGTTTTTGGCACGAACTGAGAAGAAAATATTCGCTCTCGTGTAATAGAACGTTTTTGCAAATGCAAATCAGCTAGTGCTAATATCCCTCATCCTGACATTTGAAAAGGAATCGACTTATTGCCGCGAACGTGGAAAACAGTAATTTGAATAAATGTATTCCACATTGAATTCTAGAAAATGTGCGCAGAGAGCGAAGTTATATCTATGCCCAGAAGCAAACAAGGGCCATTCCAACATCCTCCTCCGCAAAAAGCGCCCCGCGAGGCGAGGAATCGGCTTGGGATGTCACTGCACCGGCAGGCTCTTCGATTCGAGTCTCGACGGTTGCAGGATTTTCGACGAAATCAGACGCTTTCTGGAGGACAATTCTTGCGGCCGACCACTCCAATCGGTAGTTTTCCGTGATTTCTCCGATAAATACCAGGCGAATTCTAGAGCAGTAATGTAACAAACGGGCCACGGACCTCGCGCGATCTTTCTTTCCTGTTCTTTACCCGATCCTTACCCCTTCCTTACACTTACTACCCTTGCATGCACTACACTACTACACATATGCGGAGACTAGTCGAGAGCTAAGAGCTAATCCCAGATGGGATGGCTAATCCCAGGGTTTTGGCCCCGCTGGTGGGAGATACCTGGTGGCGGAAAACCCTGCAAGCCGAGTGGTAGGTCGGCGCCGGGGGACGGAGCGCGCGCAGCTCACCCGAGGGGTCGACGGCACCCCAGCCGGCGGCGAGCAGCACTTGGGCGCCCTCCTCGGGCCGCACGCCGGGCGCCGCGGGCAGGCAGGCGGGGCGCACGCGCGGCGACAGCGCCACGGGCCGGGCCGTGCGCAGCAGCGCCAGGTCGTGGTAGCGGAAGCGCCGGTCGTGTTCAGGGTGCAGTGCCACGGCCGCCACGCCGTAGTCCGAGTCACGCCGCTCGCCCGCGCCGTCGCCTTCGCCCTGCCCGTCCAGCCGCGTCGCGCCCAGGCGCAGCGCCACCGGCCGCAGACCCACCCTGCGCACGCGAACACGCAGTCACTTGCCGATGCGCTTCACGTACAGCAGCTGTCACGGCTTCAACCTCACTCCAGAGACGTCTTCACGGTCCAGTGCAAGCTCCCAATTGCGTGGACCATCCACAGCGCAACTACAAATGAATCCCAGTAGAATTACAAGGCTCGGAATGACTTCCCTTCTTTTCATTGCTGCGTTAACGTAATTAACTTGAAAATGAATGTTTATCATGACATAAGCGATAGAAATCTATAGTTATAGGGTCATTTTAGATCATTTGTTTGTACCATTGCATCATTTTTGTCATTTTTACGCATTATGACTTCTTTTCGTGCTTTTTGTTTGTGAATGTCTCATGAATATACATTGACTTACTAAAACAAAGTTTTTATTGTCTCATTAGTTCGTGACGAAATGTATTGTTTTTCAAAGTATCAGAATTACAGGGATCGTCTATAATTTTCTCCACCTTTCAAAACTGACGGTTGGAAGATTGGTGCTAAGGATTACATTTCCAACTAAAATAAAGACTTATGTTAAATATAGTTTTATATAAATAAATTTTATTGAAAATTGTAAGTCAATGAATAAGTAAGCATTTTAATGCAAATTTTTTTGTATTTTTTAAAAACTTTCGTCATTTTTCTCTTATTTTTAAGCCATTTGTAAGTTATTTTGTAAGTTTGTTTCCTCTTATTTGCAAGTCATTTTATAAGTAATTTTTAAAGGTTGTTTAGGTCATCATAACCCGAGCTAATAAGTTATTAGTAGCGACCACACTGCTCAAGGACAAAAATAAAATACTCTCATACCAAATTAAATGTTCTATCAATAGCAGCCTTCACGGCAACTACGAGTATTTTGGCAACTAGAATAGTACCTATTTTTTTTAAAAGAAATACATTGAGATCACACAATTTTATTTGTCGCGCGAACGAAACGCTGTGGTAATGTGTATTTATTATAACAGGTAACTCGGTGAGTATTTCTAATAGCACAGAGAGCAATATAAAATCAGGTGTCTGATTGCCGCCGTGCTAAATGACCGTAACCCATGTCGCGCAGCCTTCATACACACATATAGCTGTTCTCTGTGATAAATGCCCAGGAGAGTCACAGCGGAAGTTCTTGAGAAGAATGCCCTTCCGTACAGACCTGTCGCAAGGTGGGCAGGGGAGTTTCTGTGTGGGCGCTTAGAAGTGATTGAAGAGCGACGACCTGCGAATGCGAAGACCATGTGGTACCTGCGGCAATCGAGCAACGAACTATTCGGATCTTTAGAAAGGGTTTTGTCATGTGTGAAGTTGAATGGAGAATTATGATTTTCTATATTGAAACGAGTTTGTTATCTTAAAAATAGCAGAGTCCCACGCCTATAAGAATGAGAAATAATAAGAAAGGTTTGGTCTATTGGGAAAAGTGTGGTTAGCGAATAGGAAAGGAGAGCACATTAGTTGCGTATGCGTATGAGCCTAGACAGGCGATCGTGTGAGTGTATAAATGTGAAATGGTGTGCATGTGTGAGTGTGTGTGTGTGTGTGTGTGAGTGTGAGTGTGAGTGTGAGTGTGCGCGCGGGTAGATATGCAAGAAACAACAGGTTTGTGTGCGAGTCGCTTTTGCAGGTAAGTCACGTAATGTCGTGTAGCGTGTTATATAAATATTACGTGTAAATGTTAAGTGAATCGCCTGCTGCAAAACAACTTCAAAACAGACTTGTTAGTTGAGAGAGCAATTATTGAACAATTTTTAAAAATAATTAGCATTTAAAAATGTTAATAGATGATTGACTTGACTCTACAAGGAAGTTAAAAACCTTTGCCGCGATTTGTGGCACAACCTTCAAGGAAACCCAAAAATGTATAAGTTACTTGTAATTATAATGTATCGCGTACTTTATGTTTTACTCAAATTTAGATTTTGGATAATGTTCCTAGGCAGGAAATGTATTAATTTTTTGTATTTTAATTCAATTCAATGTATTTTAGTATAAACCCAACGATATTTACACCATTGTTCTGTTTTAGTACAAGAAAGAAGAGTATTCGTATTTAGAGGATAAAGTTTAAATTGTGCTCAAGACTTATCCTACGACTATCCTATCAATTCACATCTCCTACGACTCACACGCCAGTAAAATTTTCCTTCGAGCGACATCTGAATGCATAATGGTAGATTGTAGCGTAGAAATGAATATCTGTTTTGCAAAACTACGAGTAGCATTACCTTGTAGACGAGACCATTGATTCTACGTTACCTCCAGAAGACCTGAAGGGGGCACAGAGAAAAATAATAAAACCTATCATCTTCGCTCATTGAATTTGACCCATTCAGACCTCTGGGCATGAAGAGCCTTCTGAAATGAAAAGCTACAGCTGGCAGTTTAAATGATCGACGGGAAAAACTGCTTTTCAAGCTTTTCCGTTTCAGATGTCATTTTTTCCTATCAAACTGTAATAATAAAATACACATGAAACAACAGAGTAAAAAAATATGATCTTCAAAAGTGAAAACGTTTTCACCCCTTGTCGCCCATAGGACTCCAGGGAGTAAACGGTTTTCACCCAAATGTTTAGATAGAACATGGAAATTATATTGAATCTCTGCATATCTTGATTACACACATAATGGGAAAGTACGGGTGGGCTATTGCGCAGCTTATCCGGCTTCAGCCAATGGGCTTCATGTGCCAATTTGCGTCACTATATTAGCGGAAATTAAAAATGTAGCGCGATAACGAAATTGTCTCTGTTACAGGTCAATGGAACCAATGTATGAAGCATTTTTTTTAATATTGCGTATTCTATTTCAACTACACCTTCATCTTGGTATTTTGTGGTTGGCCACCATTGAAAATTAACTTTATACCACTTTCATGCAGCATGGCGGCCAGCTTCTGGTCAAACGAAGTGCCCGTGTTGCGATCACGTGGATCGTGATGTATGTGGTGCTGAGCTGAACGAGCTCAGCAACCGTGAGGCACGGCCCAGCACCATTGGTGTGTCAGACCAGCGCAGACATGTCTTTCCATCATGACTACACGCCATTGACCGTTTTGTAGAATACTCGTACTTACGATTGGACAGTTGTTATGCAGTGCGCCGCTGTGAGCACATAACGTTCGCTGATCAAGGTTCCGCCACAGCGCCAGGAGACATCGGATTTTCGCGGCGATCCGAATCCTATTGCCACCTGAAAGTACAATGTACACATTCAGTAAATATCCACATTTGGAAAGTATTTATATTTCCGGCCCGGAACGATCTCCTGCAGGATACAGCATGCTGTCCTCTAGAGTATCTCTTGGAAAACCACGTGAACCAGATGTTAAATTGTAGTTATATATCCCATTTCAGGACAATACTTTCCGTATGAAAAGGGTATATCACTTCCGGTCAGCCAGTCCTAAAGAGTGTTTCAGATATTTCACACTACGTAATACCACATTAAAGCAGTTATGAACGAGTTTGAAGTGGTGTTGCATCAAGCATTTCTTTTTTATATAAAAGCCTATAAGATTTATTTTTTCATTATGTAAACAGCTGTATTTTTTGACAATTTATTCATTTATATCTAACGGTGCTAACATGAAACTCCAAGTAAATGAATAAAAGAACTATTCTAAATTTCAGTGTGCATTGAATGCACATATTGGTAAATCTTTGACTCGGAGATGAATAAGGGAAGATTGTTGACCGACTGCGAAAGCCTATAGGTTGCAAGAATATATCATTTAGACAGGAAGTTTCATTCTCTTTCGGATCAGACTTCTACAGATTTATCGCGACCTTTTAAAGGCCTGGGAGATATAGATTCACTAACTAGGAAAATTGTAGAGGTTACTGCTCTGGTAGGGCGTTTTCGTAGTTTCCTCTGATAAATTGAAGGAGCATTCTTAAATAATGGACCACAGACCACACACGTTCTTTTTTGACCATCATTTTCCCGTTTATGCCTTGTGTATGCCTGTACACACGCTACATCACTACATCTGATACCCGGGAACCAATCATGGCGGCTTCGACTTAAACATGTGAGACATTGCCCCTATCAGGAGCGGCGTGTGGAGAGAAACGCAAGCTGGATTGGAATGAACGAGACATTCCCGGAGGTTACCAAGGTACTGTTCCTAGACACATCAAGGTACAATAGATTCATTGTGATTGCAGTGATGTGTCACATGGAAAAAAGGGCAGATTCGTCAATAGAATTTACTTCAATACATAATAAGCAATTCAACTTATAAATACGGCCAGTTTGAGATTTTTATAATCCACATTAATGAAGGGAAAGATTGTCACAGAGGTGAAATAAATATAACAGAAATATTATGATAAAATGGTACAATATTAAAGTATCTGGAATGTTGTGGAAAAAGAATAACACAACACATTTGTTAATATTAATATAATGCTTAGTTAGTGCTCTGTGATATATCGTCATTGGTTAAAAAAAAGGTACAAGAAATGTACAAAAACTGGACTCGCGAATTCGATCAGTTACAATGAAACTTCATCAAAACACGCATCATGAGAGTAAAATATATGGCCATTCAATTGCCTGTGTTCGTATTGTAAAAGATTGAAAAAATGTTGCGACTTTATAGCTCTATTGTAATTTAATCAAAAATGATGAAATGGTTGGTACCTAATCAAAAAAGAGTGCTTTTCATATTATAGGCAATAGTAAGTTAATGATCAGAAAAGTCCAGGACGAAAACCAAACCTGAAAGATACATGCAAATGTGAACACGAATGTACTCATAGTATTACATCATGTTTCGATTAGTGGAAAACAAACTAGTACTTAAAGCTGCTGTTGGTATTCTTTTGTTATTATCTCACATTTCATGAAAAATATTTGTTTCTACTGTTATGATAAATTCACTTTTCTCAAAGTGTCTCAAAATGTCATTCATATGAGAGATAAGGATCAATTTGTACATCCGGAAATGCTATATTTACGAAACTCAGTTTCGAAATCTATGGGCACCACCCACATTCTTCTTTTTTACAGTGATGGGGGGGGGGCAAAACAGGCAAGAAGGAAAAAGTTGGAATTTTCTAAAAAAATGACAAGATAGAATGAAAAAGTAAAATCGAAGAGAAAGGTTTCCTTCAAAACATCAACTTGCAAATGTGGGTCAGGACATCTTCGCTTTAAATTCTGAGACATTTCCGTTATCTTGTGCATAGAAAAGATTCCCTTCGGAAACGACTGCGTCATGGTGCCTGTCGCAGGGCATCCAGAGAAAGCGAAGGAACACTTCGATCCGGTACCCACACCAATAACCAAGCATCGTGAAATGTTCTTATATCAACTATTAGCCAAGGAAGTGAATTACAAAAAACTGATTTATTTTATTTCATTTACTTTTATTATTATTATTATTATTATTATTATATATTATTATTATTATTACATTACATTATTCACAGTATCTACTGGACGGTATGTCAACCCAACCAGGTATGATGACCAGGTGTTGGTTGCTTTACTGAAGGTTCAGATGGCTTCTGACAATACGGCATGTATTCAAAATACTGTCTTTTGCATATTATATACATTCCTGGTATCCAAGTGAAGACACTCCAGTGCCCGAAGTGTCATTTTCGGGATCACTCCTGTAGCTGATATTTTATAGGCACAGTTGTCACTTTACTGAAGTTCCACTGAGTTGCGACTTCATAGGCGAGATCGGTATACTTCTGGATGTTCTCTTGATATTTTCCCGATATGTTGTGGGTATTGGGTATTGATATATCGATAAAGAAAACCTGCTTTTGTTTCTATCAATGTACGTTACATCGGTTCTATTGCCGCCGACATGTCTGTCAGTGATAATGGAACGATCCCAGTAGAGTGTGTGCTCACTACTTTCAAGCACATTCTGAGGCACATATTTATAATACGGCACGGAAGTGGTGCGAGTAGCCCGTTCTCAACGCCAATAATTGGTGGACCTGCTTCGCCACTTCATCATGCTCTTTTTGTATTCCGCTGTGCGTGCTGCTAATCCACTTGTCACGTGATAGTTTCGCTTGCAGCCTCACATCTACACGAGTCGGAATGAATGGTAGAATCTCTCAGAATGTGTTTTCTGTAGTTCATATGTTGGTACCACTTGGTCTGGATAGCTATCATGATGGCTTCTGTCTCCGGAAAGAGATTCCCGTGCTGGAGCCATGCGTGCGACGCGAGTTGTCGACTTCTGGTTTACTCAGCTCGTGAGGTACCTTCCATGCAGTGCCTTCGCTTTCCATAAGGTTATCTTCTCTTCCGTTTCAATGATTGGTTGAACAGGCGGATCAAGCTTTTTCAACTTCAGAGACTATAGTTATTATCAACTGCGCTCACTGCTTGCTGAACTCTCCACAATGTTCCAAGAAGTATCTTCTGAGTGAAGCAATTTGAAGAGCTGTGTAGTTTTATGAGATCTACATTACCTCGCCCTCCTTGCGACCTTGGAAGGGTAAAGCGCTCAGTACTTGAATGGGGATGTTTTCGGTGTTGAGTCATAGAGGTTCGAATTGTCCTCTTGAGATTGTCGAGGTCGTATTGCTCCATTAATAACGCAAAGGAGTATGTTAGCACTGGAATAACAAATGAATTGATGGCCTGCACAAGGTTTCTAGCAGAGAGTTGAGTTTTTAAGAGCCATGCAATCGTTTACACACTTCATTTGTTAGTATGTGCTTAGTAACAGTGTGTTTGATTCGGAGTGACTGTTGGAAACCCAAGTATTTGTAAGTTTCATGGGTTCCATGAAGGTAATCTTTGATTCATTATCAGTTTCCAAATTTTATACATGTATATGACCCGAATGATATTCACTCTCCTGCACTTATCCAAACCGAATTTCATCTTAATGTCGTCAGTGAACTTCTCCGTCACGTTTATTAGTTGCCGCATATGAATCTCAGTGTCTGCATAGAGCTTCAGGTCATCCATGTAAAGGAGATGTGAGACACGAAGAAGAGTTGAGTTCCCCTTTTAAGAGCGATTCCATAATTAGATGAAGTAGAGTAGAGAGGGGACTCAAGACTAAACAGAACAATAAAGGGCTTAAAGAGTCACCCTGGAAAAACCCTCTGCGGATGTGTATAGTATCTGTGTGGACGGATTGTTTCCATTAGAGAGATACAGTTTTGTATTCCATCGACTCTTCGCAGTTTTCAGGAAGTTTTGGATAAACGGTGGACCTTGTATACATCCATACATTGAAGGAGCCAAGAATGGGGCACGGTGTCGAATGCTTTAGCGTAATCTATGTAGCATGCATACAGTTTCTTTGTCTTTCAAGCACTTGCCCAGAATTACAGAGTCTATAATGAGTTCTCCTTGCATCCCTGAGATCCAGGTCTACATCCTTTCTGTTCATTTGCTAAGATGTTTGTTCCTCAATGTGTGTCATCATTGTGAAACACAAGATGTTATGAATTTGTAGAAAGTTTGAAAAGCAGGTTATAGGCCTGTACTTCGAGGGTCTTAGTGGTCACCCTCCTTTGGTGACAAAAATGTTCTACCTTCAGTGAGGAAGTGAGGTAAATTTTCTGGATTGTGAAGAAAACATTGAATTATATTAGCTATATGATGGTGAGTGCTGGTAAATTTTTTGAGCAATAATTGTGGAGGAAATCACTGCCTGGTGCTTCCAGTTATGTGCTTTGTTCAAAGCTGCTTGGACAATTTCCACAGTGATGATTGGTTCACCCATTAGAGGGATATCTCGGTGTCTGTCATATTCCATTTCAATCCACGTCATATCTGGGTTGTGGGACACAGCAGATAGCCAGATAGGCTTCCAAAAGTCCTCTATTGTGCCTTTGAGGGAAGCTTTGACTCTTCTATATCATTTACAAGCCCTTTGCCCTTTGACATATTCCTGTCGAATGCTTTCTGGTTTCTGTTAAAAAGAGAATTGTGTTGCGTCCTCGAAGTGCAATTCCTGAAGCGTCGAAGGCGTTTTGTTAACGCAAAAGCTTTTGTCGTAGGGTGTCAAGATGTTCTGTTATTGTTGAATTCAAGGGCTCGTTGCTTCGTACGTATTTTTGTATTGATGAGGATGTTATTCACCTTTCTTCTCAGTTTTCTGAGGTATTTCCATTTTTAAATTGTGTGAGTCTCCCAATATCTCTCCTAGCGCTTTCTATACGATTCACCAGCCGTCTTTCCCAAGGTAGGATCCTTTTTTGACTTCGATCATTGTGGGCAGTTTCTACGCGGCTGAAAAGCTTGGAGCAGTTACATCTTGAAGCACAACCCGAGCACATACATTGATGTGTGTATTCTTCAAAAGATGGTCTTTGTTGTAGATGTTGTGGCAGTACTTTCTCATTCAAGACGCTGATTGCTCTTTGCTAATTTCTTCGAGTAATTTTGTCTGGGAATGAGACAGCGGTTGAGTGGGTCAGTTCCTTCAAATTCCGCAAGTGCGACTGCAAATTCATTGCGAATTTCCACCTCTTCTCTACTCTTATCATCCATACTTTCTGACATGCTTGTCCCAATGTCCTCCTGAGTTTGCAAAGCTGAATATCTTCACTGCCTCAGATTACTAGGTTCTGAGGAGTTAAGCAATTTTTTTCACTTCTTCCTTGATTGCTTCAAAACTGGTGCAGAGAGGAGATTTTTCTGAACAATTGCTCGACGCTGGTCCGCTATCCTTTGCTCACTAACTTCAGAATCAGGGAAACGGTGAAGAATCTTTGATGTAACTTTTGTCGGTAGGCCGTAGTGTCAGTCTCATTTTGGTAATGATGTAGTATTCACGCATGATGAAGGTATTTATTTCTATAGTCCACTTCATCCTTCTGCGTTGCCTGCCTGCGGCAGTGGTCTCTGGAAGCAATAGATTGCTTCTCTGGGAAGCACTTGCGGCAGGTGCAGCTATAAGTGGAGATGGATGGGTGCTGCTATGTTCGACTGTAGTATATTCGGGTTATCCCGATCAGGGCCGCGCCTGTTCAGCTCCTGATCACCACCGGCTCGCATGCTGTCACCTCCAGCGGTGGCTCCGAAGGTGCCCGGCGCTCCCCAGGCAGCGCTGCTTTTCCGAGGCCTTACGACGCATATTCCGTGTCTCCATAGCTCTATGGGTGTGCCATCGCCCTGTTTGCCGCCAAATTTTCTGACGTTACCCGTCTCCCACGTGGCTAAGTTCTCAATTATCGGACGTAGGGCTGGCTTTGGGAGCTTTTTATTATTATTATTATTATATTATTATTATTATTATTATTATTATATTATTATTATATTATTTATTATTATTATTATATTATTATTATTTATTACAGTTATTCTATCAAGACATTGCTGAAGAAAGTTAGTGATAATAATAATTTTAATTAATTTGCTGTTAGTGAATTAAAAACATATCCAAAAAATATCATCTACATCGATGTACTGTCTGATTTTTGGACATTGAGCATTTCTTATTGAATGAATTTGTAATACATATTAATTATGTAACTTCCAATCTATATTTTTACCTATATTATTCTAAAAAACTGCTTTCATTTAACTCTATTATGACATTTGGAAGAAAAGCCTGAGCGCAGTGGTGTATTGCGAGGATCAATTGTCAATTGGAGGCAGCAAAATTAAGAAAACTCGGTTTGCAAATATCGGAGTACTTAATATTGTACTCACGACTTTCCACTGGACTTTTTTATAAGTACATGTATAATACAATTCATTGGTCAATTGTCTGAAAGTAGCTATCTTGAAATGGATAACATTTACAGATCAGAATATCATGTTCTCGCCAAATATTCTCCTGATAACTGGGTATTTCCTAATGATTTAAAGTTGGTTAAAAATTTATTGTTTTTTTTTCAATTTAACTACCCCGAAATAAAATAACTTTTCATAACATACGAACATGAAGTACCAAAAGACAAAGCGACTTACCATGTAGGAAAATCTCCAGTTTAGCTAGTTCTCCGCCGACGATTATTGAACCCAGAAGTATGTCATTTGCAATGAAACTTCCAAACTCTTTGCGATATCCTGGCAGGCTGAGACAGAAATCAAACGAAATTGTATTGTTGAGGTCCACCACGATTCTTTACGCGTCCCCTTCATGCAACATTGCCCCTTAATTATTTTGGAAGTATATTTTTATTAAACAGTTGTGATACTTGTAGTAAGTTGATGTAAAGCGGCCATATAAAAGTAAGAGTTCAATGTTTGGTTTTTTTTACATCTATTTCATTCCCAAAATTCACTTATTGGAATTTTCATATAATGCGGCATACAGTGTATGTCGAATTACCAAGAGTCCTGCACTTAATCTTATTCAGAACACACAACAAAAATAAAGCAGCGTATACTAGAAATATTATGCTGTATCAATTATGGCACCATTGAGGAATATATTAAAATTTGAATTAATATAAATGTCACTTAGGTTTTCTCTCGATCTGCACCTGCAGATGCTAGAGTGGATTACTGACGAAAGAACGTTGGGAAGAGAAGAGAGAGCGGCTCACCTTGTGCGCTGGGCGAGGCGCGGCCGGGCGCGGCGCGGGCGGCGCGGTGGCGGCGCGGGCGGGCGGCGCGGGGCGCGGCAGCAGACGAGCTCGTCGAAGCCCCGGAAGCCGCAGCGGGGCGGGCGCGGGCCCAGCGCGACGCGCGCACGGCTGCGGGGGCAGTGGCGGGCGGCACGCACGGCGCCCACAGCCGCGCACTCTTCGCCTGCAACGGCGCCCATATCGACCTCTTCCTTTTGCCCTTTCTCAGCAAATTTACAGGATTTTTTAAAAGGGCTTATTTTATAAAAGCGGGGGGGGGGGAGAGAAATGTAACTGCAGAAAGAAGGAAATCTAGATGATGAAAATGGAGATACGTAACTAGCGAATAATCTGAACCCACTTGCTCATATTAATATGGTCGCGTCCTTCGGTAATCTGAAAATTTTAATCTTGAATTCATTACTGTAATTTACAACTTTCCTCGAGCAATAAAAGAAAAATAATGTAGAATTTTCCAAGCGGGAAATTCGAAGACAAATCTCATTGAACGACTCTTTTGAGAAGTATTTACGAGAACAGCTTCAACTCGTTCTAAGATATAATTCAGAATAGTTTATTTCTACGAGAGCCTTCAGTGTTGCACATTTCAGTATCATCACGAAAAAGGAGCATGTAAATTAATAGATATGTAATTGCCGTACCTAAAGTGTGTCTAAAAATATTGTACTTCAACAATAACAAAGAACATCAAATGCTCTTTTCAAGAATTTATTATTTATATTTTACTTTGAAGGTTTTAAGTGATTTTTAAATTGAAAAAATATTTTAATAGTACAACAAACTATTCAAACATTATCGAAATCCTTCTTGAAATGTCTGAATCTCTAACCCTCGAGAACGTTTACACTGTCTTTATTAATACTGAGGGCAAGGTTAGATGGCTCAGCCGAAATGGCTCTTCTGACAGAAACGAAGCGCTGACATCAAAAACACGTATCGACATCACGGATGAATTTCAATATTCGGAGCTCTCTGATAATACGTAATGTGGAAAATCTAGAATCACAATATAAAAATGAAAATAAAATCTACATCTTTTACAGTTCTGGAAGCTCTCCCTCCTTTTATTTTGGCGTCTCTCTTTACATATTAACTTCTAAAATATACCTCAGAACTGCTATAAGTAAAACACATGTAATATATAACTTCGCCAAACATGAGTAACATCCAGGTTGTGGTTTACATCCAGGACAAAATTACTCGCAAAATTAAGGCCCATAGAAATCCAGAATACATTTGAAGTAAACCAATAAGAGAAATTAGTGAAAAAATATAGTTTTTCATTCATATATGTCATTGCCATCTTCTCCTTACTGAACTAACGTATGAAAGTGTACAGTGAGAAAGTACTTTCCATTTTTGTATTACACTGATTATAAAGTTACTAGCGGCCATGCATAGTAAACAGACAAGAGATATTGATATATGTAGAAATTAATCTCACTGAAAATTTGTAAATATATAACATTAACTTACATGATGTGCTATCATTAGGCGACATTTTAAATTTATATTTTATTCTGGAAATAAACCGAGTAAGTGCTTTGTAAATACTCATTTAAATTCACTCATCACTTCACGTCTCGTAAAATTACATAAATTATAACATTTTCAAAGCACTCACTGTGTTAAGATAACTAAGATAATCACTTAGTATAGACTATTACAATCAATCAATATTATTATGTTCCTGAACGATAGTGAAATGAAATACAAACACGAACATTTTTTAGACTAGCTCAATAAAAGCTACATTAATTACACTCTTAACATTACTTCAATTTAGTAAGTAAACGTGTCAAATTAGCACAATTTCCAAGTGGAGCGAGAGCCGCCACTCACCACTGGGGTAGAACTGCGGGCGGGCGCCAGCGCACGACCACGCGAGCAGCACCACGACCACGCGAGCGCGCATGGCTGCAGGAGACACTCGGGCCCGCGGGCCGGCCCTCGCTTTTATGCGTATCGTAGTGCAGCGCGTGGTGGGGCGGGAGACCTCACCTGGCGGCCGTTCGCGGAACCCGCGGACAGGGCGACGCGGAAGGTGCGTTCCTGCCTGCCTGCCCACTTCAAGGGCGCCCGACGTCGCCACCCCACGCGCGTTGACGCGCGCGCCTGCGCGGGGGGGGGGGGCGCTTCCTCCTGCGATTTCGTCCTCTCCGTTTGGGGATTCCTCCACTCGGTTTGCTTTCAAAATAATGGATGAGGGGGGGGGGAGCTCGTCCGAAGGATCGGTTTTTTTTTAATAGGTAGTTTCTAATCTTAATGTGAAACCAGAGCGCAAGTGCTCAACTATTTTATATAATTCGACACTTGTGATGTAATAAACAATCCTTTGGTGGGATCTTTAGTAGAATTAAATATTTTCAATCGGTCGTAATGTAGTGGTTACTGAAACGTCTATGTAATCTTGTAAGGTCATGAATAAACAAATCATTGCGCCCAGAATTTCATAGCTTAATACTATTTCATTAATTCAATACTTGTATTTAACAGATTGTCAAAGTATATGAACCGCACGTTTATAAATATATTTATATTTTAAAATATAATTGTAAAAACATTTATTTAAATGATTGGTTTATGCAAATTTTTGAGAATTTTGTTGAAATTAATAATGAATTATATTCATTTCTACAAGGTCAACTACTTTTTCTTCTTCACTAGGTACCATTTTGGCTGATTAAAGATATTCACTTAGTCTTTTAAATATGGAAGTCCACGTTGAAGACAATACTACAGTTGTTTACTTAACGGGACAACCTTAATACAACCAGCGCTACGGATAGATGACTCCTAACAGAATAACCTCTTACTGAAGAAGAAAGAAAAAAAGAAGAAAGAAAGAAAACACATGTCAAACGCAAAAATATATGTGCCACTCGAAGACAGATTTTGTTTCGCAAATTTGTACATTCGTTTTATTAAATCATGCAAATTAATTTCTTTACATATGCTGACGCCGACTCCACCGGAGGAAGTGTAAATAGCATGCTCAAAGTTCCCCTTATGTATGTGTATAAATAGTACAAAATTTTAATAGTTTTGGATTTCACTCATTTCTAATTTCAAGATAGCGACGTTTTTCCGCTCGTAAAAACTGATTTCCAGCCATTATCTGCGCGGGGTTGAGGCACAGTTATTACACCATGAAAAAAATTTATAAATAATGAAGAACATTAATTTCAATTTTTGTCTTTTCTCCAGTTGCTTAATATATAATACATAAAATATGTAGATTATTTAATAAACTGTAAAGTATGTTAAAACATTAGACGTAGCTCATCTGATGTAAAAATAGGAGAGTTCACTCTGTTTAAAAAAATATTTTTCCCCGAAAGTGTATATGTATACATTATTATTATTATTATTACTATTATTATTATTATTATTATTATTATTTCTATTATAAATGAAGAACATGGTAGGGTGAACGTATGAGTTCTATCAATAATACTGAGAAAAAATTAGAGTTCAAACGACAATTATGAAACGTCTAACGTGTTGCACAACATTACTCTCAAAGACAGTAATACTACTCTGATTATAATGTAGACCTTCTAAAAATAGTATTCGAGAATAGATTGAATTTAAATATCTCTAATGTTTACGCCTTCTTGCATCTAATGAAACAATCATATCATCATTTATTTTCAGGAATATACTTTCGGGAGTAAAACAACCACACTTTCTAGCTTCTTCTATATCAAGAAACAACTTCACTTATTACTTTGCTGCTATTTTTTCACTGCAATACGAAAACGTTTAAGAACTAGACTAAAGCAAAAAATTTAATTTGACCACGCAATATTGAACAGTCGCGGCAAGTGGTGAACTCTTGGCAACCCACGCCAAGTAAAATTGAATGAAAACGAAGTAAAAAATATGACATAGGAGCTTCATTTCATTTTGTGTGCAAATGCCGAGAGGATAATTTACTTGTTGTTAAGTAAAGTCGCTCGATCGGAAGACAAAGACCGTTACTACGCGTCGCCGTGCGAGTTAAAACTCGAAATTCAAGCTTTTGCTCTCTACGAGCAAGGCGAGGCTCTCCAGAATACGACCTTGAAAAGAACTTGCTTGGTGGCACGCATGCTACTAACCTGCAGGCGACTGCGAGAGGAGCGCGTCACCCGGGACGTCATTGACAACTGAACTTCCGCCGGCCGGCTTTCTTGCGATGCCATCCAGTGATGTGTAACGTATTAGCCAGCGTGCCTCATGGCATCTATCTGGGGACGCTTGGGGGCGGATTAGTCTCGCCACAGGAAGAAGGGTTTTTCCGTAAAGGTAGAACGCGGAACGGACACGAAGCTTGAGGTTCTTCCGCGCTATATAGAAGATCTTTATCACTGTTGTATAACAAGGATGGCGGAGGCTGTTAGCGGACGTATACGTCCACGTGGGCCTCGCCATATAAAGAGTGTACGGAGCCGAGGAGAGTTCTGGAACGGTGGAAACCTCTGGGTGTGCACAAACTTGGCGCGGCAAGACGGGTGCATATGCGAAGCCAGCTGCGAGGAGGCTATTTAGTGAGCGAAGCCTGACGGCCTTTATTCCTTGGGTGACTTGCGTGTGTGTCACGCTGGGCACGCGATGCTGTGTGCGTGCTCCGAGGTGAAGAGTGGTTGAATGCCACGATTCACCGATTCTCAATTCGGATAAGATCGCTCCTGCGATCGAGGCAAACAGAGCCTTGTGTGCGCCAAGAACACTTTGTGTCCAGCCGTGACACCACTGTCACCCGTGAAGCTAAGCTTTGTGCAGCGCTTCAAAAAGTAGGGGAAGTGCGAATGCCACAATCAAAACCATCTTCAATCGGGTTTGGATCGCTCCGCGAATCAGGGCGATAGTAGTCTTATCAGAGCTAGGTTGTAAGTAGATTATAAGTGTATAAATTTGTCTTTTTTTTTAGTAATAAATATATTGTTATACGAAAGCTCTGTCTCTGTGGTCGCTGTGAGTATCCATGACGTCACAGATGCAACACTGACAACAAAACATCCATGTTAATATACATCGACCAAAATCCTTCGTTGTTTGTAAAAATCGATGTTTCAAAGGTCATTTGGAAACATCTAACATTCAATTATTGCGCAACAAATTTGACAATGGCTGTATTTATTAATTCATCATTAAAATGTAACAAAAAGTTATAAAACGCCTCTTCATTTGCAAAGTAGAGGAAAGACGAAGGAAATACCAGGACAGCAGTATTATTCCGGGTGAGGGATTGTCTGTTCGGTGTAGGTAGGTATATTGTTCGTTTGGTTTGAACAGTTAAACAGTCAGAGGTACCATAAATTATGATTTCATATTTTCAATTTTACAAAATTGTGATTGGTTTGTGGTCGAAAAACTACCACAAACATGGAAAACGTAAAAACATCGAGAGCAAAACAACGAAGATTTTATACGAATATCGATGTTTTGAAAACATGTCAATGTCGCATCTGGAGCACCATCCGCTCAAAGAATGAGAAAGAGGTCTTCTGATCCGCAGAGACCTCCTTCTGTGAAACTTTCCACCTTTCACTTCTGGGTTGGCGCACGTTATTAGGTGGCCTAAAGTTAGCGATGGAATAAATGCATGCAAGCAAACTAAGAACCTGTCTACCTCCCCCCCGTGCGATAGGTGGCCTCAATAATACTTTAAAGAAAATTATATATTATTTAATGAAGGATACAAAAATAACGCAAATGCCATAGTTCATAGTTTATTTTCACAAAATATGTATTACGTATTGTAACGAGTTAACATTTAATATGCATTTAACATTCAGCGAAGATATATATGCACGGCCTACTTGGGATGCGAGCACAGGTTTGTAATGTTTTGGATACTACAGAAACAGCCAAGGGATGAAGATGAACAAAATCAACAACCAGGAGGGGTAGACGTATCGAATAACAGACGGAACCGACATACGTGTATTGAAGGACAGTTGGGTGAGTCGAAGAACAAACGGAATGAGGAAATGTTGATATAAGTACAGACTGGGTGTGGACGTACTGAGATACAGATGTGATGTATAATTATTTAAAAGCAGACGAGAAATAAACGTATATAGTGTTGGAGTTGTAAATTGAGTTGTCAGTGGCTGGGTTAGTCACATCATTTATAACTTAAGAGCGGCTGGACCAATTTTAATTATCTCTGATTTTTTGGATTTATCTCCGTGTGAATAAAAGAATAACGATTAAAATATCGGGAAAATTCACGAAAAAAGAAGAAAACTAAATATTAATACCAAATGCAACCCGCAACATACTGCAGGATTTAAAAAACCTTTATATCGACAAATAAGTCCTAAATAAAGCATATTAGGGCCTTAACAACTAAAATTTTGTAGACTACGGCGTCAGAGAAATGTGAATCTTACCTTAATCTATAGGATAAGAACGTCTTGAACATTCTGAAACAAAGAGAATGGGACAGACGAAGAGAGAGGAAGAGACGAAGACAGAGGGAGAGTCGTTGAGGGAGGGGGAGAGAGAGGAAGGGCAGAACAATATCCGCGGGTTCCGCTGGTAAAAAAAATAGTGGATATTTCTATTTTACTCCCCATTTAATTTAATAATGGAAAAATTAGAACCATCATAGTATTTCTTTAACGTTCTTTCAGTTTCGTATGAGGAGCCCATTATTTGGCCGCATTGAAGGCCCTTTAGAATATAAATTTGGTCCTGTGTAAAAGGGCCCATTCACGGCCCGAATACGAGGCGGGTTTCTTGTAGCATTCTGCCGATTTAAAAAAGAATGCTTAGGCATTTATGCTGTCCCCTTCCCTGTGCAAATGATCAGAGTGGTAATTTTTCATCGCCTTCCACAGGGCGAACGCCAAGTTGTTAGCTCAGAGAGGGTTACCGGTGGGAGGCTGAAGGGCCCCACACACGTTGCGGGTACGTGACTGT